AATTTAAATATTATAATATTATAAATTATAGCTATTTGGGCAAAAATTGCTTATAGGCACTTTATTGTTTTTTAGGGGGTCGTAAAAACGTTAGGCTCTTTAGGGGTGAGGTAAAATTGTGTACGGGGGGGAAGCTTCAAGCACTGTTTAGGATTTCCTGTTTCCGGGGGGTTTTAGGAGTATTAATGATCTTAGGAGTGTGGGGGGGTAGGGGGGTTTACCCGCAAAAACCGAGGGGGCTCGCAGGAGGAGTGATGTGAAAGCTAGTACTATTATGCTCTTGATATAATCTGATGCATTTCTTATTGAAATGTTTATGAGAGCTTAATAGATTATCCTTTAGCCAAATAGGAATATGTACTACCTTGACGTTATTTACCGTGCGCACTCTGAAATGCAAGGTGAAAGGAAGACAAAAAAAAAACCTCATACCCGCTGGAGTGAACGCTCGGCTAGTTGGGTAACGAGGAGTATGGATTAAAAGCATTAACTTATGCAAGCTTCAAGGAAAGAATGGGGGTCTTAGATCAATTGTTCCTGAAATAGGAACCAAATGCCAGGAATAATGTGAGATTGAGCTACCCCCACGATTTTTGTCCCTGACCATCAATAACCGTTGGCATTAAGTTATGGACTGGTTGGTGGTCTCTTACTGTTCATCTTTGTCTTATATTTATAAGGGTTGTACTTACTTGGTGTAATACATTCTAAGCTTTAATTTGTTAAGCTTCGATTCTATTGCTATAATTGCCTTGTTTAATAGAACATTCCCTGGTGCTGTGTTTGTTACTATAACATGCTTTTTATGTACTAGGCTAAATAGGTTCATTTAATTTAATGTTGATAATACATATATGTCCTTGGTAGCATTAGTATTAATGGTCTATGTAAGTATATGCATTTTCCATATATGTCAAAGAATAGTTTAAATTAGAATTCTAGCTTTGGGAGTTAGCGGCGGGAGTTAGAATCTCCCTTCTTTGAGCAAAAGGGAGGATTTAAACCTCCACCTGCCGGTTTACAAGACCGGTGCTCTGTTTTGAGCTACTAGTGCACGCCCATTTTAGGGTCTTATTCTCCATTCACCCCGCAACAGGGGCTAGGACCAAGAACAGCAGGAAGTAGACGATGGAGGCGATTTGTCCAATGATAATGAAGGGGTGTTCGACGGGCATGCCTCCAATTCATGTGAGAACAACAACGTCTGCTGCTAGTGTTCAGAATAAGAACTGTGTCAATGGGCGGAAGGTTAGTCCTCGTTGCTTCGATGTGTGCAAGATGGGTACTACCATGAGAACTAGGATAGAAAAGAGGAGGGCCAGCACCCCTCCAAGTTTGTTTGGGATTGAACGTAGGATGGCGTAAGCGAAAAGGAAGTATCATTCGGGCTTAATGTGGGGGGTGTGACTAGGGGGTTTGCGGGCGTAAAATTATCTGGGTCCCCTAATAGGTTGGGCGTAAATAGGGCTAAGGAGGTTAATCCGATTAAAAGTGCTGCAAAACCTAAAAGATCTTTATATGAGAAGTAGGGGTGGAAAGAGATTTTGTCAGCATCGGAGTTTAAGCCCAGGGGGTTGTTGGAACCGGTTTCATGGAGGAAGAGCAGATGGACTACTGTTGCGGCCGCAATTACAAATGGAAATAGAAAGTGGAAGGCAAAGAATCGAGTTAGGGTGGCATTGTCAACTGAGAAGCCGCCTCAAATCCATTGCACTAATGTGTTTCCTACGTAGGGAACTGCGGATAAGAGGTTGGTAATCACTGTAGCTCCTCAGAATGATATTTGGCCCCATGGAAGCACATAGCCCACGAAGGCGGTCATCATAACTAGGAGCAGGAGTACCACGCCAATATTTCAGGTTTCTTTGTAAAGATAGGATCCGTAGTAAAGTCCTCGCGCGATGTGCATGTAGATACAGATGAAGAAGAAAGATGCCCCGTTAGCGTGCATATTCCGGATTAGCCAACCGTAGTTGACGTCCCGGCAGATGTGGGCTACGGAGGAAAAGGCGGTAGCAATGTCCGACGTGTAGTGTATGGCTAGGAAGAGGCCCGTGAGAATTTGGGAGGCCAAGCAAAGGCCTAGGAGAGAGCCAAAATTCCACCACACGGAGATGTTGGAGGGAGCGGGCAAGTCAACTAAGGCGTCATTGGCAATTTTTAATAGGGGGTGGGTTTTTCGAAGGCTGGCCATTAAGATTTACTCCTGTCAGGGGCAGGGTTCTCGTAGTTGAGAGATACAACGATAGTTTTTCAAGCCATAGGCCCCGGTTGAAGTCCGGGCGAGAATAATGTCTTACACAATAGCTTTGTTACTAATGGGAATGGTTGGGGGGTTAGTAGGGGTTGCCTCAAATCCTTCACCTTATTTTGGGGCCTTGGGATTAGTTCTAGTTTCGGGCACGGGGTGCGGGGTGTTGGCAGGGTATCATGGGGGTTTTTTGTCTTTAGTATTATTTTTAATCTACCTAGGGGGTATGCTTGTAGTTTTTGCCTACTCTGCAGCCTTGGCCGCGGAGCCTTTCCCTGAGGGTTGGCTTAGTTGAACTGTAGCTATGACTGCGTCGAGCTACTTGGTCGGGCTTAGCATTTGTTGGTGAGGGTTCTTTGGACACACAGATCTTCGTCTGGGGGAGGGGCAGGTAATAGGTGGGTGGGGGGACTCGTCCCAGTTGCGGGGGGAAACAGGGGGCGTAGGGCATATATATTCTTCGGGGGGGGGGGGCGTGGTAACTTGTGCGGGGGGACTCTTGCTAACCTTATTCGTAGTTCTCGAGCTAACTCGGGGGCTAGCCCGGGGTACAATTCGTTCGGTCTAATAGAGCACAATTAGAACTCCCAGGACCGAGGTGAGGAGGAATAGGGTTAAGAATGTTTTGATTATTCCTCGCTGGGCAGCGGTTAGGGCGGCGGAGGCGGATTCATTGGTGTTGCTTGCTTTTTTGGGCCCAGATTTCTCTATTCAGGTTTGGTCTATCATTTGATTAGCCAGGTGCTGTCCGAAATATAGGCTTATTTTTGGAGCCATTCGATGGAATACTAGAGGAAAGTATCCTAGTATGTTGGAGAAGTGGTGGGTAAACGGGTTGGGGGAGTGTTTTAACTGTTTGGAGGTTTGTTTGGCTAATTCAAGAGCGAAGAGTAGTCCTATGACTGTGACTACGATGGCAATTGTTTTGGCTAAGGGGGGGAGTGTTATTACAGGGGTTTTAAAGGGGGTAAAGATGCATGTAATTAACAGTCCCGCAACAATGCTTCCTCAGGCTAGTCGGGCAAGTGGTTTAAGGATTGCTGGGTCATTTTCGGTGATAGCGAGTAGGGGGGAGAATCGAGGTTGGCCTATTGTGACATAGTAGATGAGTCGGAGGCTGTAGACAGCCGTAAAAGAGGTGGCTACAAGGACGAACAGGAGGGCACAGGAGTTGAGGTGGGTAACGGCAAGGGCTTCAATGATGGCGTCTTTTGAGTAGAACCCGGCCAGGAAAGGGGTGCCGATTAATGCCAGGCTGCCGATTGTAAAGCAGGTTGAGGTTGTAGGGAGGATGTTGAATAATCCGCCCATTTTTCGAATATCTTGCTCGTCGTTTAGGGCGTGAATGAAGGAGCCTGCGCATATGAACAGTATTGCTTTAAAGAAGGCATGGGTGCAGATGTGGAAGAAGGCAAGTTGGGGCTGATTGAGTCCAATGGCGACCATCATCAATCCCAGTTGGCTTGAGGTAGAGAACGCGATGATTTTCTTAATGTCGTTTTGTGCTAAGGCGCATACTGCAGTAAAGAAAGTTGTGAGGGCGCCCATTCAAAGACAGGTAGTAAGAGCGAATTGGTTGCCGTCTATTAGTGGGCTAAATCGGATGAGGAGGAAGATTCCTGCGACAACTATTGTGCTGGAGTGAAGTAGGGCCGATACGGGGGTTGGGCCTTCCATGGCAGCCGGAAGTCAGGGGTGAAGGCCAAACTGAGCGGATTTTCCAGCTGCTGCTAGTATTAGACCGCAAAGGGGGGGGGTAAGGTTATAGTTTCCTGCGTTGTTGAATAACACATCGAGTTCCAGGGAATTAAGATTTGTTGCTATTCATCCCATGGTAAATAATATTCCGACATCTCCAACTCGGTTGTAGAGGACCGCCTGTAGGGCGGAAGTGTTTGCGTCTGCTCGTCCGTATCATCAGCTAATAAGGAGGAAGGATATAATTCCCACCCCTTCTCAGCCGATGAATAGCTGGAACATGTTATTAGATGACACGAGGAGGATCATTGAGATTAGGAAAATAAGTAGGAATAAGAAGAAGTGGTCAATTTTGGGGTTGCCTTTTATATACGAGGTGGCGAATACGAGAATGGATCATGTTACGTATAGGGCGACGGGGACAAAGATAGCGGCATATAGGTCGTATTTTACGCTAAAAAAGATATTAAAGCTCGGAGTGCTAAATCAGGGGATTGAGAATGCTAAGGCATTGTCTTCGACGCAGAGGACTAGAACGCCAAGAGGGAGGCTTAAGAAAAAGGCCGTAAGAACGCCTTTAACAGTTAGGAATCGGAGGGTGGCTAGAATCTTTTCCTTAGGGAGTAAAGAAAGAAGACATGGCCGCGCTAAGACAAACAAAATTATAATAATGAGGGAGGTGACAAGGGTTGTATGAGTATTGGGGGCCATTAAAGTTCCCGCTTGGATTTGCACCAAGAGTTTTTGGTTCCTAAGACCAACGGATAAACTGTTATCCTTCAGGAGCGTGCTGAGAAGAGCCCGGGACTCCAACCCGGGGTGCTAGGGTTAGCAATCTTAGCTGCGGGCAGGCCTCTCTCGGTGGACAAGGGGGGTCTAACCCCTGTCTCTAGAATCACAATCTAGTATTTTTTTTAAACTATGTCTACATGCGAGGGGGCCCGAGATTAGGGATGGCTTGAGGATAAGGGCGAGAAGCGGGAGGAGGTGTAGGGCTATGAGGAGGTGTTCTCGGGAGAATGATGGGGGGAGATTGATAATGTGGGGAGGGAGGGGTCCTCGTTGTGTCATTAAAAATATGTAGAGAGAATAGGCCGCTGTGATCAAGGTTCCTGTCCCAGTGAGAGCGATTGTTCATCACGATCAGTTGAGCATACTTACAATGATCATCATTTCTGCCATGAGGTTCGGAAGCGGGGGAAGTGCAAGATTGGCTAGGCTGGCAATAAATCATCATGCGGCTATTAGAGGAAGGGCCATTTGTAGTCCTCGGGCTAGTACTATTGTTCGTGTGTGAGTTCGTTCGTAGTTGGTGTTTGCAAGGCAGAAAAGTGCAGATGAGGTCAGTCCGTGGGCAATCATGAGAATTAATGCTCCTGTAAAGCTTCAGGGTGTTTGAATGAGGATGCCTGCTGCCACTAGTCCTATGTGGCTTACGGAGGAGTAGGCAATTAGTGATTTCAGGTCGGTTTGTCGTAAGCAGATTGAGCTAGTTATAATAACTCCCCAGAGAGCAAGGATGATAAATGGATAGCTAAGCTCTTTTGTCAGGGGGTCAAGAATAATAAGGATTCGTATTATTCCGTAGCCCCCTAGTTTTAGTAAGACGGCGGCAAGGATTATAGACCCAGCAATGGGTGCTTCTACGTGGGCCTTGGGTAGCCAAAGATGGACTCCATAGAGGGGCATTTTTACTAAAAATGCCAGAAGACATGCAGCTCATCAGAAGTTGTCGGCGTAAGAGTGGTAAATGAAGGGTTTTATATACTGGAGCGTAAGGATTGAAAGGGACCCAGAGGAGGCTTGAAGGAGGAGGAGGGCCACTAGAAGGGGGAGGGAGCCAGCCAGGGTGTAGAAAAGGAAATAGGTTCCTGCATTTAAGCGTTCTGCCTGGTTTCCTCAGCGGGTGATGAGGAATAGGGTTGGAATAAGAGTGGCCTCAAATATAACGTAAAACATGATTACTTCTGTTGCACTAAAAGCAAGGATTAAAAAGAATTGAAGGGTAATTATTAGCGAGATGTAGAGTCGTTGACGGTGGGCTGGTTCAGAGGATATGTGGTTTTGGCTGGCAATAATTATAAGAGGCAGTAGTCAGCAGGAGAGGACAAGAAGGGGACTGGACAAAGCATCAGCTCCTGTAATGGGACTTAAGTAGGTTCAAGTCGTATCTCAGGGCTTCTTTATTCAAACTAGGCTCAGTGTGGCAATGAGGAGGCTTTGGGCAGCCGAAACTTGTCAAATCCATTTAGAAGGGGTCCACCAGGTGGTTGGAATGAGAAGAAAAGTTGGGATTAGGATTTTTAACATTGGAGGAGGTTTAGGTTTTGCATGCGGTCAGAGCCGTGAGTGCGAGCGGTTGCAACAAGAAGTCCTAGGCCAGCGCTGGCCTCACAGGCTGAGAAGGCCAGGAGGATTATAGGTGCAATTGAAAAACTAGAGGAGTTTAGTTGCAGGGTCCAGAGTGCAAAGGCAATGAATAGAGATAGTATTATTCCTTCCAAACATAAGAGGGCAGACAAAAGATGGGTTCGGTGGAATGTTAGTCCTATCAGGCCTAGCGTAAATGTTGAGGAGAAGGCAAAGTGAGCAGGAGTCATAAGACTATTGTGGAATTTAACCACAAGCTTTTGAGCCGAAATCAAAGGTTTTAATTAAACTAACAGTCTACTCCGCCCACTCCAGCCCGCCTTGTATTCATTCATAGATTAATCCCACAGTAAGTAAAATTAAGACACCTGATGCCCAGCAGAAAGTTAGCAATGGGGTGGTTAGCTGGTCCCCCCACGGGAGGGGGAGCAGTAGGGCAATTTCAAGGTCAAACAGTAGAAAGAGGATCGCGACAAGGAAAAAGCGGAGGGAGAAGGGCAGGCGGGCTGTGCCCAGGGGGTCAAATCCGCATTCATAGGGCGATAGTTTCTCGTAGTCTGGAATTATCTGAGGCAGCCAGAAAGACACCAAGGCTAGGATCGAGGAGAGTAGGGCGGCAATGATGAGGGAGGTAGTAAGTAGATTGGACATTATCTTTTCTTGGATTTTAACCAAGGCTGGGTGGTTGGAAGCCATCAGTACTAAGACTGTACTAAAAAGATTAAGAACCTCATCAATAGATGGAGATGTACAGGAATAGTCATACTACATCGACAAAGTGTCAATATCAGGCGGCGGCTTCGAACCCGAAATGGTGTTCGGATGTAAAATGGTATTGAATCTGGCGGAGAAGGCACACGGCCAGGAAAGTTGAGCCAATAATAACATGTAGGCCGTGGAATCCGGTTGCGACGAAGAAGGTTGAGCCGTACACGCCGTCTGCGATTGTGAAGGGGGCTTCGTAGTATTCTATGCCTTGAAGGAATGTAAAATAAAACCCTAGGAGGATCGTAAGGGTTAAGGATTGAATTGCTTGTTTTCGTTCTCCTTCTATGATGCTGTGGTGGGCCCAAGTGACTGTGACCCCCGAGGCTAGAAGCACTGCTGTGTTTAAGAGGGGGACTTCAAAGGGGTCTAAGGTGGTGATTCCAGTGGGGGGTCAGCATCCTCCAAGTTCGGGGGTCGGGGCCAGACTTGAGTGGTAGAAAGCTCAGAAGAAGCCTAGGAAGAAGAAAACTTCGGAGGTAATGAATAAGATTATACCGTAACGAAGTCCCTTCTGCACGGGTGGGGTGTGGTGGCCTTGGAATGTTCCTTCTCGCACGATGTCTCGTCACCATTGATATATGGTGAGAAGAAGTAGAACTGTTCCTAGGGTTATTAGTACAATAGAGTTATAGTGGAATCAGATTGCTAGGCCGGATGTTATTAAGAGGGCGGCAACTGCCCCTGTCAGAGGTCATGGGCTGGGGTCGACTATATGGTATGCGTGTGCTTGATGGGCCATTAGACGTTTTCTTGAAGGTACAGGCTTAGAAGCAGGACAAAGACGTAGGCCTGAATCATAGCCACAGCTACCTCCAGGAGGGTTAGTAGTAGTAAGAGTGTTGCGGTTAGTAATGCAACTGTAGGCATTAGGGGAGCTAGGACGAATGCAGCGGTGGCAATAAGTTGAATAAGGAGGTGCCCTGCTGTTAGGTTGGCAGTGAGTCGAACACCAAGGGCGATGGGACGAATAAAAAGGCTAATTGTTTCGATAATAATCAGTACTGGAATTAGGGGGGTGGGGGTGCCTTCTGGGAGGAGGTGGCCCAGGGCGATGGTAGGTTGGTTGCGCATTCCAATCAGCACTGTTGCAAGTCATAGGGGGACGGCAAAACCTATATTTAGGGAAAGTTGAGTAGTAGGGGTGAAGGTGTAAGGGAGAAGGCCTAGCATATTTAAGGTAATTAAGAAGACTATTAAAGATGTTAATAAAAGTGCCCATTTGTGCCCTTTACGGCCTAGCGGGAGCATAAGTTGTTGTGTGAATCGATTAATGAATCAGCCCTGGAGGGTTAGCACTCGGTTGCTGATTCATTGAGATGTGGGTTTAGGGTATAATGTCCAAGGAAGAATGAGCGCGAGGGCTATTAAGGGGATCCCTAGGTAGGAAGGGCTTATGAATTGATCAAAGAAGCTTAATACCATGGTCAAGCTCAGGGTTCTGTCTTTGGAGTATGGGCGCTCCGGGATGTTGTTTCGTTGGGAAAAGTGTGTGATAGAACCTTTCGTGGCAGAACAATTAAAAAAATTAGCCAGGAAAAAAACAGGATTGTGAATCAGGGGGCTGGGTTAAGTTGAGGCATGTCGCTAGGGGTGGTTGGGGGCCACCAATCTTTAGCTTAAAAGGCTAACGCTTAGACCCTATTCAGCTTCTTAGCGAGGCGTCTTCGAGCATAAGAGAGGATCAGTTTTCGAAGTGTTCTAGGGGGACGGCTTCTACCACGATGGGCATAAAGCTATGGTTTGCGCCACAAATTTCAGAACACTGTCCGTAGTACACTCCTGATCGGGAGGCAACGAAAGCTGTCTGATTCAGTCGCCCGGGAACTGCGTCTATTTTTACCCCTAGGGCTGGTACTGCTCAGGAGTGGAGAACGTCTTCGGCGGAGACAAGGACTCGAACGGGGGACTCTGAGGGGACCACTATTCGGTGGTCGGTTTCTAGTAGTCGGAATTGTCCTGGGGAGAGATCTTGTGTTGGGATTATGTAGGAGTCAAAGCCTAGTTCTTCATAATCTGTATACTCGTAACTTCAGTATCATTGGTGTCCCATGGCTTTAATTGTTAAATGAGGGTCATTAATTTCATCTATCAGATAAAGAATTCGGAGGGAGGGAAGGGCGATTAAGATTAGAATTAGTCCGGGGAGAACAGTTCAGATGACTTCGATTTCTTGGGAGTCTAGAATATACTTATTTGTTAGGTCCGTGGTGACTATTGCAATAATAATATAAAGTACTAGTGTACTAATCATAAAGACAATTATTAGGGCGTGGTCGTGGAAGTGGAGAAGTTCTTCTATTACAGGGGAAGCTGCGTCTTGAAAGCCAAGTTGAGAGGGATGTGCCATTAATGGTCAAGGTATGTGGGGTTTTAACTCACAACTCGGTCCTGACGAGACCATGTAATAATTTTACTAATATCTTATTAAGAAAGTGACAGAATGGTTATGTGGTTGGCTTGAAACCAGATCATGGGGGTTCAATTCCTCCCTTTCTCGTTAGTTAGTCCGTACTTGGACAAAAGCTGGTTCTTCAAATGTGTGGTAGGGAGGAGGGCAGCCGTGTAGCCACTCGACGTTGGTGATAGTCAGTTCAACTGATACTACTTCACGTTTTGAGGCAAATGCTTCTCATAGAATGAATAGGAACATAATTACGGCCACTAAGGAAATGATGGACCCGAAAGAGGAGACAGTGTTTCACAGCGTATAGGCGTCGGGGTAGTCTGAGTAGCGTCGGGGCATGCCGGCCAGACCAAGGAAGTGTTGGGGGAAGAAGGTTAAGTTCACCCCAATAAACATAACTACAAAATGAACTTTGGTTCAGGTCGAGTGCAGGGTGTAGCCCGTAAAGAGTGGGAATCAGTGAACGAAGGCGGCAACGATGGCAAATACAGCCCCCATAGACAGCACATAGTGGAAGTGGGCTACTACGTAATAAGTGTCATGGAGAACAATGTCCAGTGAGGAGTTAGCCAGTACGATCCCGGTCAGCCCTCCGACTGTAAATAGGAAGATGAACCCGAGGGCTCAAAGGAGTGGGGTTTCTCATTTAATAGAGCCCCCGTGGAGGGTGGCGAGTCAGCTAAACACTTTTACCCCGGTTGGAATGGCAATAATTATTGTGGCAGAGGTAAAATACGCTCGAGTGTCTACGTCTATGCCAACAGTAAACATGTGGTGGGCTCAAACAATAAAGCCAAGAAGGCCAATTGCCATCATTGCTCATACCATGCCCATATAGCCGAACGGTTCTTTTTTACCTGCGTAGTATGCTACGATGTGTGAAATTATTCCAAAGCCTGGGAGAATTAGAATATAAACTTCGGGATGTCCGAAAAATCAAAATAAATGTTGGTAAAGAATTGGGTCACCTCCCCCGGCAGGATCAAAGAAGGTTGTGTTCAGGTTTCGGTCTGTAAGGAGCATTGTGATACCGGCGGCAAGAACGGGTAGGGAAAGAAGAAGTAGGACGGCTGTAATAAGGACGGCTCAGACAAATAAAGGGGTTTGGTACTGAGAAATAGCAGGGGGTTTTATGTTAATAATTGTTGTAATAAAATTAATTGCCCCTAGGATTGAAGAAATCCCTGCAAGATGCAGGGAGAAAATTGTTAGATCAACGGATGCACCCGCATGCGCAAGGTTTCCAGCTAGTGGGGGGTAGACGGTTCAACCTGTCCCGGCCCCAGCTTCTACCCCAGACGATGCTAGGAGAAGTAAAAAGGAGGGGGCAGAAGTCAGAAGCTCATGTTGTTTATTCGAGGGAACGCCATGTCTGGGGCCCCGATCATCAGGGGAATAAGTCAGTTTCCAAATCCGCCAATTATAATTGGCATTACTATAAAGAAAATTATTACAAACGCATGTGCTGTGACGATTACATTGTAAATTTGGTCGTCTCCAAGAAGGGCCCCGGGTTGGCTTAGTTCTGCCCGAATAAGCAGGCTTAGGGCTGTGCCCACTATCCCGGCCCAAGCACCGAAAATAAGGTAAAGGGTGCCAATGTCTTTATGATTGGTTGAAAAGAGTCAACGGGTGGTTGCCACAGGTAGGATGGCTGAGTTTTAAGCGGTGGATTGTAGCCCCATATACAGAGGTTTGAGTCCTCTTCTTACCAAGCTCCGAGGTGGTTCTCATATTGGATTGCAAATCCAAAGAAGTCGGTTAATTCCCGACCGGGGCTTTCCCCCGCCTTCTTAGCTCGAAAAGGCGGGGGAAAGGCTAGACGAATGCTCGCTGGTTTGAGCGCTTAGCTGTTAACTAAGAGTTTGTAGGATCGAGGCCTGCTTGTCTAGAAAGGCCTTAGCTTAATTAAAGCGTCTGTGTTGCATACAGGAAATGTGGGTTAGTGTCCCGCAGGTCTTATTCAGCAAATGTGGGGCTCCCACCCCCTCTTCGGGCTTTGAAGGCTCGCGGTCTGTAATGTTAACCTAAATTGCTAAGTTGTGAACAGTGTTGTTAGTGCTGGTGTTAAGGGTAGGAGTATTATAGTGGCGGCAGTTGAGAGGGCAAGGGGGAGAGTCTTTTGAGGGCTGTTAAGGCGTCAGGGGGTTGTCCCTGGGAGGTTGTTGGGGGACATGGTGAGGGTTATGGAGTAGGATAGGCGGAGGTAAAATACTAGGCTAAGAAGGGCGCTAAGGGCTGCTAGTGTGGCTGTTAGCCCTAGGTCTTGCTTAGTTAGTTCTTGAAGGATGAGTCATTTTGGTATAAATCCTGTCAGGGGGGTAGCCCTCCTAGGGAGAGTAGAATTAAGGGGGTTAGGGCGGTTATAGTTGGAGATTTCGTTCAGGAGGTTGACAGAGCATTTATTGTTGTTACATTGTTTAGTTTAAAAACAACAAATGTTGAAAATGTTATTAGGAAGTACGTAATCAGAGTGAGGAGTGTCAGTGAGGGGGTGAATTGAAGAACTAGGATTATTCATCCAAGGTGGGCGATGGATGAATAGGCAAGGACTTTGCGAAGTTGTGTTTGATTTAGTCCTCCCCAGCCTCCTACAAGTGTGGAGACTAGCCCTAGCAAAATAAGAGTGGTTGAGTTTATGGGCTGGGTCTGCAAGAGGAGGGCAAAGGGGGCTAGTTTCTGCCAGGTGGATAGGATGAGGCCGGTAGTGAGATTCAACCCTTGTAGGACTTCAGGTAGTCAAGTGTGTAGTGGTGCTAGACCAATCTTTAGGGCAAGGGCCATGGTCAGAAGGGTGAGTGGCAGGGGGTGGGTCAGTTGAAAAATGTTCCATTGTCCTGTGAGCCAGGCGTTGGTGGTGCTTGCAAATAGGATTATGGCTGCAGCGGTGGCTTGGGTGAGGAAGTATTTTGTGGTGGCTTCTACTGCCCGGGGGTGGTGGTGTTGGGCTATTAGTGGAAGGATGGCGAGGGTATTAATTTCCAGGCCTATTCACGCGAATAGTCAGTGGGAACTTGCAAATGTAATGGTTGTCCCTAGGCCCAGGCTTAGAAGTAAGGTGGTTATAATTAGGGGGCTCATTAGGAAGGGTTGGAGTTTAACCAACATTCTTGGGGTATGGGCCCAAAAGCTTTGTTAGCTTACCTTTCTAGAAGGTGGTGTAGAGGAAGCACTAAGAGTTTTGATCTCTTCGGGTGGGGTTCAAGTCCCCTCTTTCTAAGGAGGTGGAAGGACTTTAACCTTCATTATTCACTCTATCAAAGTGACCCTTTAAACTTCAGGCACAGCTCCAGTGCTAGGATTGTGGTGGGATCCCGGCGAATGCTGTGGGGAGGGAGAGGTGTCAGATAATCAGGGCAAGTGTTGTAGGTAGGAAGTTTTTCCAAATGAGGTGCATGAGTTGATCGTATCGGAACCGGGGGTAGGAGGCTCGCACTCACAAGAACAGGACCGCGAGGAGCGAGGCTTTTGTTATTATGTTAAGTGAGGTAAGCTCGGGGAAGATGGGGGTGTACATTGCGCCTCAGAATAAAATAGCAGATAGAGTGTTCATTAGTAAGATGTTGGCGTACTCCGCCAGGAAGAATAGTGCGAAGGGTCCTCCGGCATACTCTACGTTGAATCCTGAGACTAGTTCGGATTCCCCCTCCGTTAGGTCAAAGGGGGCCCGGTTGGTTTCGGCAAGGGTTGAAATATATCATATTGCCGCTAGTGGCCATGCTGGGAGGAGGAGTCAGACACTTTCTTGGGTCGTGCTAAAGGTTTGCAGGGTGAACCCGCCTGAAAAAATGATAATGCTTAGTAGGATAAGCCCAAGACTAACTTCGTAGGAAATGGTTTGGGCAACGGCTCGGAGGGCTCCAATGAGGGCGTATTTTGAATTTGATGCTCATCCCGAGCCAAGGATGGAGTATACTGCCAGGCTTGAAAGGGCGAGGATAAATAGAATGCTTAGGTTTAGATCCAAAATTGGATGTGGGAGAGGCATAGGTGCCCATATTAGGAGGGCAAGGGTGAGGGCTAGCATAGGGGCGAATAAAAATAATACAGGAGAAGAGGTTGAGGGTCGCACGGGTTCCTTGAGAAACAGCTTAACGCCGTCAGCAATGGGTTGCAATAGTCCGTAGGGTCCTACAATATTTGGGCCCTTCCGGAGTTGTATGTATCCTAAAACTTTTCGTTCAATCAGTGTTAAGAAAGCTACTGCTAGTAAAACGGGTACAATGTACGCTAGGGGATTGGCAAGGTGGGTGAGGAGGAATGCCATAATTGGAGGGAGGATTTGAACCTCTGTGTAAAGGGCTTAGACCTTCCGCATCATCCGGGCTCTGCCACTCCAATTTCGCCCAGCTCTAGGGCTTGGGGGCCGTGTCCTCTTGCCTGATTTAGTTGCCTGCATCGGGTGAGGGGGAGGCGTGCGGGGAGCAGGGGCCTCTTCTTTCCGGTCCTTTCGTACTAGGAGAGATCACTTCATAGATAGAAACTGACCTGGATTACTCCGGTCTGAACTCAGATCACGTAGGACTTTAATCGTTGAACAAACGAACCCTTAATAACGGCTGCGCCATTAGGATATCCTGATCCAACATCGAGGTCGTAAACCCCCTTGGCGATAGGGGCTCTGGAAGGGGATTGCGCTGTTATCCCTAGGGTAACTCGGTTCGTTGATCGGCTTTGCCGGGTCTGTAAGGTTAAAAGTTTTATTTCTTAGAGCAGGAGCTCTCAGTTTGGGAGGACAGTGCCTCTGTTCCGCTTGGGGGTTTGTTGTTTCCCCGAGGTCGCCCCAACCAAAGACATAAGAGCAGGGGATATTTAGTTTTTTTTCTTGTTCGAAGGTGTTTAACATAGTCTGTCTTTGTGTCTAAAGCTCCATAGGGTCTTCTCGTCTTATGTGGGTATCCCCGCTTCTGCACGGGGGGATCAATTTCATTGACTGGGAAGAGGAGACAGTTTAGCCCTCGTTATGCCATTCATACGGGTCCCCATTTAAAAGACAAGTGATTGCGCTACCTTTGCACGGTCATAATACCGCGGCCGTTGAACGTATTGTCACTGGGCAGGCGGGACCTCTTATTCGTTCAAGTTTGCAAGAGGCGATGTTTTTGGTAAACAGGCGAGGCCAATAGGGTGTTTGCCGAGTTCCTTCTCTTCCTTTTAGTCTTTCCTTTTTAGCACACCAGTGTGGGGTTAACGGTTTTCTATTGGAGAGTTTTCTGGGTTTTTATAGACTGTCTAGTTCCCTCTTCTTTTGGGGTCGTTAAATATCGGTGGGGGTTCGAGCCGAGGTACACATGTGCTGGGAGAGGTTCTAGGTCCTCTTATTACTGATACTAGCAGGATCGCTTCCATGAGTGCATGAAGCGGCCGGATAGAATAAGGGGATTAAGATTGGGTTATCGGAATTTTAGGGTGTGAGGGCGCAGTGCCTAAGCTATAACGCTTTTCTAGGGGGTGGCTGCTTTCAAGCCTACCTCAACTCTCGGGCCTTAATGACTATGATCTTTATCCTTCATTTCAAAGTTGTGTCTTGGTTCAAAGGGGCTGTACCCCCCTTGACTAACTCTTTTGGTTTCTTTTGTAACAGGGAGAAGATTAGGGTCTAGTTGAAAGGAGAATCCAAAAGGCTGAACTTCTATCCACTTCTCCGGCAACCAGCTATAACTAAGTTCGGTAGGTCTGTCACCGCTACTCGAAGCTCTTCCCACTCTTTTGCCACAGAGACGGGTTGGCCCTAGATTTATAGGCTGTCTTGAAGTAGCTCACTTAGTTTCGGGGATTTAAACTAAAATAGATTTTGCTTAAGTGTTACTAGCTAATTCATGATGCAAAAGGTACGAGGGAGAAGCTCTGCTGTTAGTAGTTTGCTGGGCTGTTTCATTTTTCTTTCAGCTTTCCCTTGCGGTACTTTAGTTATTGCTCCTATTTTCTTTTCTATCTCCTATACTGAGAAGGAAAAATGATTTGTTTTATGATGGTGGGTACATTTGGGGGTAGTTAAGAGGGGAGAGTTGATCTTTGGGGGACGGGCTAGCTGTTGGACATTAGAACATCCTGTTTTGCACAGGCATGTGGTGGTTTCAGTTCCGCCATTTAATGGTTGGCAATGTTCTGGGGTTTCAAGACAGCCCGGTTTGCACGGGCACCTTCCTTGGGGGGATGCTTTATCTGTGTTTAGCTATGCCTTGGGGTGTGGGTGTGAGTTTGTTGTGGGGTACTGCCAGGTTAGTGCTTATGGAGGGAAAGTTGTTGGGGGTGTCTTGTTGTTTTGTTGCAAATTATATTCCAAGATAGCCCGATTTTCACGGGCACGATTCCCTGGGAGGGGGGCTATTTTTACTTTAGCTGTGTCTTGGGGGTCTGTTGTGAGGGGCCAATAGTTTGGCCCAGTTATGTTGAATCAAGACAACCCGGTTTGCACGGGTACCTTCTCGGTGTAAGTGAGATGCTTTATCTGTGTTTAGCTATATCTTGAGGTCTAATTTCAAGGCAGCCCGGTTTGCATGGGCACCTTCCCCGGAGGGATGCTTTATCTGTGTTTAGCTATGCCTTGGAGTGTGGATACGATCTTGCTGTGGGGGCGTCGTTAGGTTAGTTCTTCTGGAGAGAAGGCTGTTGGGGGGTCTTGTTGTTTTGTCGGAGATTACACCCTAAGACAGTCCGATTTTCATGGGCATTACTCTTGGGGGGAGGAGGTATCTTTGTTTAGTTGCGTTTCGGGGTGCACAGAGTAGTCCGGCTTGCACGGAGATTGATCGGGGTAGAATGATAACTTTTACTTAGTTTTACTCTTGTTTTTCCAAGCGCACCTTCCGGTACACTTACCATGTTACGACTTGCCTCCCCTTACATTGCCTTGTTGTATTAATTATTAGATGTCGGCGGAGTCGGGGAGAGTGACGGGCGGTGTGTGCGCGCTTCAGGGCCAAATTCAGCAAGACACTCTATTTCTTGCTTACTGCTAAATCCTCCTTTAGGCAGATTTTTCAATCCACCATCCGTAATTCATTGTAGTTTATTGAATGTAGCCCATTTCTTCCCCCTCCATTCGCTACACCTCGACCTGGCGTCTAGGGCAGTGCCAGTTTGGCTCATTATTTTACCCTCAAAGGGCGAGCTGACGACGGCGGTATATAGGCGGAAAAGGCAAGGAAGGGTGAGGTTTAACGGGGATTATCGGTTCTAGAACAGGCTCCTCTAGGTGGATCTAAAGCACCGCCAAGTCCTTTGGGTTTTAAGCTGATGCTCGTAGTACCCGGGCGGATAGCGTAAGTGGTGGGCTATCTTTGTTTAGGGCTAGGCATAGTGGGGTATCTAATCCCAGTTTGTTCCCTAGCTTTCGTGGAATCAGAAAAGTTAAAGTCACTTTCGTTGTTGGGCTTCGCTTTTTCGTAAGCGTATAACAGCTTTGAAGTTGTTCGACTTTAGTTTGGGTGTATCTTAACCACTCTTTACGCCGGCAGCTGTCAACTTGGGTCCCTCGTATAACCGCGGTGGCTGGCACGAGATTTACCAACCCTGTAAGCACTAACTAGGTCAAGTTTTCACTCATGGCTTAATATTTGTCACTGCTGAAGTCCCTTGGGGGTGTGGCTGAGCAAGATGTCGTGGGCTGAGTGTCTCGTGCCTGATACCTGCTCCTCGTCTCCATTCAGGAGGAAAGGGCATCCTCACGGGTCTGCGGATACTTGCATGTGTAAGTTTAGCTCAAGTTGAACAGCAAAGTTAGGACCAAACCTTTGTGTTTTCGGGGCTTTCTAGGGCCCATCTTAACATCTTCAGTGTCATGCTTTAATTAAGCTACGATAAC